TGCAGCCGCCCGGGCCTCGCGGTTCCCCTCCGGCCCGCCCGGCTGGCTCCGAGGCGGCGGCGAGGACGGCTGCTTCTCCCCCCAAGCGAGGCCGGCTGCTTCCCCCCCCCAAGCGAGGGCCAACGGCTTGCAGCCCTTCCTCTTGCACCCCTTCCTCTCACAGGTCCGGCTGGCTAGCTTCGAGGCGGCGGCGACAGTGAGGCCGGCTGCAGAGCGTTCCCTGCGCATGCGCAGGGAATGCTCTGTCAGTTTTGGGGGGATTTAAGTATCCCCCCATTTTTTTAACTTTTCAGATTTTTGTGCACACCTGGGAACCACCCCACGTGTGCACAAAACTCCCCCTCCCCCCCCCGGTGCCCCCGGTGCGCGGATTTAGCTATCCGCACACCAGGGGGTGACTTGGCTATTAGATATATAGATGGTGCAATAGGCTAAGTTGTGGTGGCAGCAATATGAGATACCTTTTGATAGGGGGAAGGGCCATGGCTCAGTGGAAGTGTCTGCTGTATATGTAGAAGGTCTGAGGTTCGGTTCCCAGAATCTCCAGTTAAAAGGATCAGACAATCAGATGATGTGAAAGATCTCTGTGCCTTTGGAAGGTAGTCATTCTGAAAATGTATGATTAGCCATTAGTTACATTATTGGGGAGGGCCTGTGGCTCAGTGGAGGAGCCTCTGCTTTACATGCAGAAGGTCCCAGGTTCAGACTACGGCATCTCCAGTTACAGAGGGGCAAGCAGTAAGCGATGTGAAACACCCCTACCTGAGACCCTGGAGAGCCACTGCCAGTCTGAGTAGACATGGACCAATGGTTTGATTCGGTACAAGGCAGCTTTGTGTGTGCTCATATGTGACAACCTAAAGCAGGTTCGCCAACCTTGTTGAACCGGCTACAAGCATGGGGAGCTTCAAGAGGGAATTAGATAAGCATATGGAGCAGAAGGACTAACAAGCTAACTCCAAAGCACGACAGAAGACAGGAGGGCCTGGCGTGATGTGGTCCATGGGGTCGCGAAGAATCAGACTGTGATTCTGCAACTGAACTCGACTGTGCAACTGAACAACATAGATAGGAACTCTCAGGCTGGGGCAAGTGATGCATTGTATTCTTGGTGCTTGGGGGGGCAACAGTGGGAGGGCTTCTAGTGTCCTGGCCCCACTGCTGGACCTCCTGATGGCACCTGGTATTTTTGGCCACTGTGTGACAGAGTGTTGGACTAGATAGGCCATTGGCCTGATTCATCATTGGCTTCTCTTATGTTCTAATGTTCTTATAAACCTTGTGGGCACTTCCAGAATTTTGAGAACAAGTAGTGGGTACCACAGCAAAATAGCTGCTGGGGTGGAGACTGATCACAATATGACTGGAAAAAGGCTTCATTCAATTGTAAAAAGTAGGAGAGTCCAGTCCTATTATGATACCTCTTGGTCTCTTTCTACCCTGATGAAGTAGAAGAAAGCCAGGTTTTGGTCTATGCTTTGGGGAAGAAGGAAGTGGTGATCAAGAAACAAGTCAAGAAATACTTTATTGGTATTTGGGGAGTATTTATTCAGCTGAATACAGATCTGAATTCAGCTACCAAAATAGCCACACCTAAATAAAAGCTGTCATTATTCTGCTTTTATTTAGGTGCAGCTAGAAGGCATTTAAAGAGACCACGGTGGTGCAGCTTGGCAAATGAACTCAGAAAGGATTTAAATTTTAAACTTGCAACTTGGTGAGTGAACTCAGCAAGCATTTAAAATGTAAGTCCTTTCTACATTATACCCTATGGGGACGGTCCCCATAGGGTATAATGGAGCCAAATACATTCAGGTTTTCAGAATATTACCTGAATCCCAATACAAACTCGATATTGGTATTTGGGAATATTCGGAATACCGATATTTTGGGGGTCCAATAGACCCAAATTGGGGGGAAAACTTTTTTTTTTGCACACCCTCGATCTCTAATATGCAACTCCTTTTACCAGGTTGGCATTTGCATTTCTGGTGGCCCTCAGAAGCCCTCTTGTCTATCAGTGCTACTGAACTCTTTTTCTTACCCATAGTAGGTCCTGAAACTGGGACTGAAAGGATTTTAGGCAGTGTTTCAACCTGTGCACCACTATGCAGCTTGGGTTAAAGGAGAGAGCTGCAGAAAGACTAATCTGACTAGCAAGCAAAACTCTCAACCACAAGAGACCAAAGCAGTCAGTATACCCATTAAGACTGCAGGTGAGGGTTTCATAAAGGCAGATGCTCTTGATGCCAAAAATCCCTTCAGAACTAGATGTTGGAGTGAGATGTTTTGGACTAGCTATCTTCACAGCAAGCAAGGCTGGAATGTAGAATGATCTCTTTTTCCCCATGAGGAAGCATCCAGTCATGCAATTTTCCCACCTGCAGTCTGAAATGTTACAGTTCAAGGTGGTCAGCTCTGTTGGTTTGAAGCAGTAGAACAAATTTAGAGTCCAGTGGCACCTTTAAGACCAACAAAAGTTTATTCAAGGTATGTCTTTGCACACGAAAGCTCATTACTTGAATAAAGGTGCCACTGGACTCTAAATTTGTTCTAATGCTACAGTTCAGTTACAGTTCTACCACCACCATCTTTTGGGATCTTGGCCAAACAGTTCACTGCTCACTGAATTCACAACTCTGATAGGGTTTCATCTTACTCCAGCATTATCTGCCGTAACAGCTTGTCTTTCGTTTTAACGCCTTCCCTACAGCTAACAAGTTTAATGCCATTTGTATTTCTATGAAATGTGTACCATACTAAATTATTTGTATTTTTTGTCTCTCATTTATTTAATACAGGAGTTAACCTGCTCACAACCTTTCTTCATGATCTCCCTAGATGATTTCCCTGACAACAAAGAAATACAAGCTGATCTGAATGCCTATATTCAGTACAGGATCAATGCGAGCCAGGATATTGTAAACAACATATCTCTGAATGGAAAAGCGGATGCCGCTATCATTGGGAAAGTGAGCAACCACTTGATCATGAGGAGCATGGGATCTTATCTCTACTTGAAACTGACCCTAGATCTCTTTCAGAAGGGACACCTAGTAATCAAAAGTGCCAGCTACAAGGTAGTCCCAGTCTCCCTCTCAGAGCTTTATTTGCTTCAGTGTAACATGAAATTCATGACTAATTCATCGTTTGAAAGAGCCCTGCCGGTGCTCAACGTGGCTTTAGCATCCCTTCATCCATTGACAGATGACCAGATTTTCCAAGCTATTAATGCTGGCCAGATACACGGCGAACAGGAGTGGGAAGAATTCCATCAGAGGATGGAGGCCCTTTCAGGGTTTCTGATAAAAAGGCGTGACAAAACGCGGATGTTTTGCCATCCTTCTTTCCGGGAATGGCTTGTTTGGAGAGCAGACGGTGAAAATACTGACTTCCTGTGTGAACCAAGGTAAACCGCTGTATTTATTTATTTAGGAGAGTTTTGTGCAGCTTCTCCAGAGTCATGCTTGATGTGGCTTGCAGTTAAAATAATATATTATCAATATAAAAACAAGCCAGAGACAGAAAAACAGAATAGAGTTTTCCATAAAATGGACATCACACCAGAAGATAACCATAAAACAGCTAGCAAAATAAAATTCCTAATTGAAAATCTGGCTAAAAGGGTATGTTTTGGCCCGATGACAGGTAAGCCTCAAGGGGGAAAGAATGCTAAATGTGAGGTGCCATCACAGAGAATGCCCTGCCTCTAGTCACAGAGTTGGTCTTCAGGTAATCTGGGCCCAAGCCTGAAAGATAATCAGCACTTTGAACTATTACCAGAAACAGATGGGTAGCCATTATAGATCTTTCCATGATATGTTCCCTGTTTATACACAGGGCTATTTTTGGGCAGGAAGGCACAGGAATGGAGTTCCGGCTGGCTTCAGAGTTAGCCATGCCCACTACACCCAATACCTCTGCGTGCATGGCTACAAAGGGAAGGCCTGGAGAGCGACCCTGCCCCCCGGCGACGCCAAGGTGGGCCAGGGGGGCCCCTGGAAGGATCAGGGAAGCCTCCCCGTGCCTTCCCCAGCATGTCCAAGGGCTGGCTTGCTGGGGTGTCCAGGCAAGCCAAGGGAAGGCAGTTTAAACTGCCTTCCCTTCCCTCCAAGGGCCAGCTTGCCCGGGCTCCCCGCAGCCATGGGCCAAGCAGGCAAGCCAAGGGAAGACATGGGAGTGTGGCCTAATATGCTACTGAGTTGTGCTGTCAGGGGTGTGGCCTAATATGCTAATGAGTTTCTGCTGTTTGGTGTGTCCTATTATGCTAACGAGTTCCTGCTAGGCTTTTTCTACAAAAAAAGTCTTGATGATAAAAATAGCTTCTCTGGTTTGTTTGTTTTTTAAAAATCCACTATATAAAATAGGAGGTTGTGACAACAGAAAAGCATTTGCTTAAGAAGATGAAAGAAAATGGCTGTTCTATTGTAGAGCCAGGTTGCTTTTTTCCTCTCAATTTCAAGCACACCTTGTACAATAAAATAAAAAATCGGAGATGAGGATATATACCCTTAAAGCGAAATTGTATCATATGTTGGCATGAAGCTATTATTTATGTACTTGCTCTGAAGCTTCATTCTAATTCTTTGTGGACTTCCCTTACAAATGACCTCTCCATTACTGGAAACTCTTTCAATTCTTATTTCTTCTTATGTGACAACAAATCCGTCTCAGGCTTATAGAGATTACAGCCACTGTTAGAGATCAGATAAACGTAGTTCGTGGATCCCTTAGGAAAGCCTTTATGTTCTTAAATTTCAGATTGCTTGTTCAACTGTAATTTGCAACTGTGATTGTTTCCCATTAATCATTTCTCAATCCAGTAAGTAGAATGTCTAATGGGATTATTGATGCTTACACAGGCATCCTTATAATTTGAAAATAGTTCAGATATTCACCCTTCCAGGTCTTAGGCAAAAACTTACTTCTTAAAGTTAGAGCCAGTACAAAAATTAATCAAGGGGGAAGAGTAGATTGCCTCTGCTGGTAGGTGTTTTTATTTCCTAGGCAAAAACACAGGAGGCGATGCTAAAACAATACGCTACAGTAATAGATTAGTTGGAACTCTTGCAGTTAGAAAATATGGAACCCATTGTGGGTGCTAGGTACCAGTCAGAAAACCATGTGACTGATGTTATATTCCCAATGCATCTTTGGATTTTATTATTTTAGAATAGCAGTTCCTTACACTTTTCGCCATGGCAGTTTCAAAATTAATTTGAGATGTGGTTTAGGAAGAGAGCCAGTGTCATTAGGAATTAGGAGACACAAGGTCAAATCCCCTCTCTGCTATGGAACTCACTGGGTAACCTTGAGCCAATCACTCTTTCTCAGCCTAACCTACCTAACCTACCTCAGAGTTGTTTTGAGGACCAAATGGAGAGGGAAGAACCGTTATTTTGAGGACCAAATGGAGAGGGAAGAACCTTGTGAAAACTCTTACATGAGCCTAAAGTAGCTCTTGGCAGTATGGCTTGTAGGAGGCAGCATCATACAAGCATTGTTTCTGTGCAATTCCATTTTAAGGATAGGACAATTGTTGTGTTAGATGGATTGGTTCTACTTCCTTAAAATTACACTAGATGATAATTATGATTATTTTTCGTAATTCTTGGAGCACTTATTGATGTACTAAGTGCTCTACAATCTTATTGGATAGTTTGCATTTTAAATTAGATTTTAAAGACAGTACACATTTCTAAATCTGCCATAAGTCATGATGATAGCATAAGAAACATTTCTTTTTCCATTATGATGAAATGCTTTCATTGGTATTGGCAACAGAACTGTGAAAGCTTTTTGTTTCAAATACTAAGATCTTCATTGTGTACTACTGTTTGGTGAGAAGCGTAAGAAGCTGACTATGTGGTTTAACAGTCCTGCTCTAATAGTTCTTCATCATCCTCACCTCCCTTTCTCTCCAAGAGGATCAAGACTCAGCCGTCCATTTAACATTGCTAACCAAAACTAAATAATCAGTTTGAATAACACAGTCCCCGCTTGGATGATCTTTTTATTTATTTATTTATTTAATTTATCGCCCAATCCCTGCTAATGCAAGGCTCTGGGCGATGTACAACATATCAAGTTAAAACATTAATAACACATTTCAAACAAATCAGAAGGTGTGTACTAATTAATCCAATTTCAAACTGCTGGCTGCTTCACGGGCAGGGGAGAGGAGGGCAAGGCAGATATAAGAAGCAGCAGGAGCGGAAAAGAGTGCCAGCTAGGATGGAAACCATTGCTGTCCTCAACCAAAGGCCTGGCAGACATCTGTGCCTTACAGGCCCTACGGAATTGAACAAGGTCCCACAGAGCCCTGATGGTATTGGGCAGAGAGTTCCATCAGGTTGGGACCAGGACCAAAAAGGTCCTGGCCCTGGTCAAGGACACCTGGATAGCTTTGTTGTTATCTGAAGAGCATCATGCTCTCCCATGGACATAGTGGAGGAAACGGTCCTGTAGACATGCCGGTCACTGACCACTCAAGACCTTGTACTTGACCTGGTATTCCCCTGGGAGCTAATGTAGCTGGCACAGCACTGGATGTATAGGTGCTGTCTGTGACATTCCCATCAAGACCACCACGTTCTGGATCAGTTGTAGTTTCTGGGTCGGTTTCAAGGGCAGGCCAGCGTATTTATTTTGATTTCTAGTTCCTCTTTCGAAACACCCTGGTAAAGTAAGGTCAGTAGATAGCTCTGGGATTTTATCGATGGGAGTCTCATCTGAGGGACCCACCCTAGCATTAAACTCCCCTCCTAAGAAAAATTTAGCTCTAGGAAATTTCATGAAGAGTCCTTCAAGTAGGTTGTGTAGTTCTTTCCCAGTTGGAGTAAAGAGCTTGTTTTGAGCGAAATGGAGGGCTATAAATAGAAATGAATACAAAGAACAGACCATTAATAATTAAGAGAACTGGTAAGGCCAGGGACGACTGACAGTTGATTTCTAAAACCTTGGCGTCAAAGGCAGTAGCTACTAAGCATGCTAGCCTGGCCGGGGGGCATTCCCCCCAATCCCTACAATAGCTGGATACATAATTATCTTATATCCAGGAAAGTAAAAAGGATGCTGCTCCCTGGTTTCTTGCAAAAGGATCACCCAGAATTCCCTTAGTTTATCTATGACCTCTAGATCCAACGAGCAACCCTTCCAGCCTGCTAGGATCCAAGTGAATACACTCAGAACCCCATTCTCATTCTTCGGTAGTCAGTTATCTAGGGGTAATGGTGGATTGACTAAAATAGAAGGACACTTAAGAGAAGACACTTGCAAGGGTGGGGGCAAATCAGGTATTAAGGGGGGAAAACAGGTCATCTAGCTTAGATGAACATTTAGGTGGGAACACTTGTCATATAATCAAATCATCTGCTAACCACTGATCAGTTGGGGATGGATCCTATCTGGGACTTGCTTTCCATCCAATTCCCTCTTTTCATTTGGCTTGCAAATTTCTCAAATTTTATTAAGAGCAATTGGGGGGACTAAAAAAAGAGTCAGGACCAGGAAACCTCTTTTGCTCAAAATGGGGACGACTACTGACATCCAAAGGAGCTGACTTCTTTTCCCCCAAGGCTTTAGAAAGTGGCCCAAACACCTTTCCCTGGAAGCTATCATTACTAAATGACCTTTCCCCCCTTGTCCTCTAACAAACTGCATAGCACTCACCTCCCTTTAATCAAATCCAGATATACTGGCAGACCACATCAGACACTAGTTTACATTACTCACAACTTGATATGTCTTCTAATCCAGAAAACCACAAGTAAAGCCATGAGACAGATCTTGTCCAATTCTTGCCTTCCTGCTGCAGCCCGCTGTGTTCTTCAAAAGAAGTATCTGAGGGCTGGAGGATCATTCAGAATGGTGTGAGATGTGGCAGGTTATGTAGTAGGAAGAAGAGACTGATTGAGATCTCCTGCTTACAAGGTGGGAGGGTTGGATTCAGTATGAAATTGTGTTTCGGTGGTGGTGGTGGTGGTGGTAGTAGGAAGTGCCGTCAAGTCATAGCCATCAAGGCAAGAGATGTCCAGAGGTGGTTTGCCATTGCTTGCCTCTGTGTAGCAACCTTGGCCTTCCTTGGTGGTCTCCCATCTAACTAACAACCAGGGCCAACTCTGCTTAGCTTCCAAGACCTGATGAGGTCGGGCTAGCCTGGGTCCTCCAGGTCAGGGCTGTGTTTCTCTAGGCAGGGCAATAGGATCTGCAAACATTATGCTGGAAGAGTTTTCTGTCATCGTAGCTTTAAAAAAAATGAAATTTGGGGTCAGGAAGGGAGAATGAAATCAGTTCTTAATCTAGATCCAACGAGCAACCCTTCCAGCCCGCTAGGATCCAAGCGAGTACACTCAGAACCCCATTTTCATTCTTCGGTAGTCAGTTATCAAGGGGTAATGATGGATTGACTAAAATAGAAGGGCTCTTAAGAGAAGGCACTTGCAAGGGTGGAGGCAAATCAGGTATTAAGGGGGGGAAACAGGTCATCTAGCTTAGATGAACATTTAGGTGGGAACACTTGTGGTCATATAATCAAATCATCTGTTAGCCACTGATCGGTTGGGGATGGATCCTATCTGGGACTTGCTTTCCATCCAATTCCCTCTTTTCATTTGGCTTGCAAATTTCTCAAATTTTATTAAGAGCAATTGGGGGGACTAAAAAAAAGAGTCAGGACCAGGAAACCTCTTTTGCTCAAAATGGGGACGACTACTGACATCCAAAGGAGCTGACTTCTTTTCCCCCAAGGCTTTAGAAAGTGGCCCAAACACCTTTCCCTGGAAGCTATCATTACTAAATGACCTTTCCCCCCTTGTCCTCTAACAAACTGCATAGCACTCACCTCCCTTTAATCAAATCCAGATATGCTGTATGGTGACCCTGGCAGACCACATCAGACACTAGTTTACATTACTCACAACTTGATATGTCTTCTAATCCAGAAAACCACAAGTAAAGCCATGAGACAGATCTTGTCCAATTCTTGCCTTCCTGCTGCAGCCCGCTGTGTTCTTCAAAAGAAGTATCTGAGGGCTGGAGGATCATTAAGAATGGTGTGAGATGTGGCAGGTTATGTAGTAGGAAGAAGAGACTGATTGAGATCTCCTGCTTACAAGGTGGGAGGGTTGGATTCAGTATGAAATTGTGTTTCTGTGGTGGTGGTGGTGGTAGAAAGTGCCGTCAAGTCATGGCCATCAAGGTAAGAGATGTCCAGAGGTGGTTTGCCATTGCCTGCCTCTGTGTAGCAACCCTGGCCTTCCTTGGTGGTCTCCCATCCAACTAACAACCAGGGCCAACTCTGCTCAGCTTCCAAGACCTGATGAGGTCGGGCTAGCCTGGGTCCTCCAGGTCAGGGCTGTGTTTCTCTAGGCAGGGCAATAGGATCTGCAAACATTATGCTGGAAGAGTTTTCTGTCATCATAGCTTAAAAATGAAATTTGGGATCAGGAAGGGAGAATGAAATCAGTTCTTATTTTCAGAGACCATGACATTGATTAGGACTTTATTTTAAGTTCTCCCTGTTTTGTAACTCTTTTTCTACAATTAGGAATGGGCATGCTCTCCTGGCATTCATGTTCTCTCGGCAGGAAGGAAAGCTTAACCGTCAGCAAACAATGGAACTTGGGCATCACATTCTAAAAGCTCATATTTTCAAGGTAGAAACCTACGTTTTATTTTGGTCTCATTTGTTTTGAATTAAACCTGTCTGTGGTTAGAGGAGTCTCCCCCCTGCCTGGTTGGCCCTTCAGGAAGTCAGCAGAGCAGGGGCAGGTTGGAAGCCCTTATGGTTGCAGTATCCCTGGGAAAGGAACCGGGGGTGTCGGGGGAAACGCTTGTAGCCATGGTATGACCATATATGGGGTGACCAGGATGGAGCTGGTTGGTCTGGGGTGAGCTTCCCAGTATGCAGGAATATACCCTTGGGTCAAGCTAGGACGGTAAGAAACCTTGCAGAGTGAGGATTAGGTGGGTCAGTCATTTGCTAGGGCAGGATCTTAAAAGCACAAACAAGTAGAAGCTGGAGGATGCAGGGTTTGGAGAGGAAGGTAGGAGTGCAGAAACTACCTACCTTTCTATCCCAGGCTACTTAGTAACCCTGTGGTGTAAAATAAAGCAGAGATACCCCAGCAAGATCACCTCTCTTTCCACCCCACCTTTGAAGACAGCCCACAGGGTATCTGGATTGCAGGCCACTCCCTAGTCTACTGCAGCTGGTGATGTGGACCACCGCCCCGCCCCCCACACACACATGGAGCAACCACTCTCGCGCTGCCATAATACGATCATGTCCTCTTATTTCTCTTCTCCTCCCCCCCACCTCAGAAACTTAGTTTCAGAAAATGTAGAATTTGAGTTTTACAGACTGTACAAAATTACTTCAGCTATGTATTTACGTGTGCACTAGACCTGAAAGTATTTAACCGTACTCCAGAAAACACCAGCGAAGGTGTTTGCCTCTAAATACAGATCTGGATATGGCTAGTGACTGATACGTTGGAAGTTAAGCACTGATTTCTGATCAAAACAATCATATGTGTTGTAAATTTGTTGTGGATTACTTCAAAACATATTATAAAAAGTGTTTTGTTAGAAGAACCTTTATCCACTGAAAAACAGTGATATATTTTCTTTTTTGACATAGTTTTGTAAACTTCAAAGAGGAATTTAGTGCAGTTTTTGTTTGGGCATGAAGTTGTTTTGAGAGACCTTTTGTAACCTCATCTTTTATTGTCACTGTTTGTTGTTGTCTCCTAGGGACTCAGTAAGAAGACTGGGATTTCTTCCAGTCATCTTCAAGCCTTGTGGATTGGCTACAGCACTGATGGCTTGTCAGCAGCCCTTGCATCTTTACGAAATCTCTACACTCCTAATGTAAAGGTGAGTGAGTCAAAATGCAGTGTGCGTTCAAATAGCTACTTATTTTTTGAAAAATTAGCTGAACAGCCCACATGTAAAACTAACTAATCCTGATGGCATTTCCTCTGATTTTCAAAGAAAAACCAACTTGGCCAGATCTGGCTGTGTTTCTGACAGCAGTATAATGTATGCATTTAGTAGCCATTTTCATGTGATAACTTTTAAGTTTCTGGGTAGACTCTGCATGTAAATGCCAGGCTAGGCACACCAGCCAACCCAGGACACTTAGCAGCTGTTTTTGTCAAACGTATAAACGGTTTTTCTCTTTCAAAGCATTTTTCCGAATTGCATTACAAGCATAGAGAGCTCGCACTGTACACAACCAAGTGTTCTTCTCCAGAGCTGTTGGGTGTGAGTTTGGTGGCAGAAGTGGGCAAATGTAATTGATGGCAATGTGGTAGAAGATGGTGGAAGTGGAACAGGGGGTAAAGGTTTCTTGGCTAAATTCTGATTTGTGTATGCAGGTGCATGCTCACACAAACTCACCATTACCTGAGGAAAGAAGCAAAGACAAGTGAACAGCCCAAGTGGTTAAGAGTGGCGGACTCTAATCTGGGAGAATCGGGTTTGATTCCCCACTCCTCCACTTGCACCTGGCTGGATGACCTTGGGCAAGCTGTAGCTCTGATAAGAGCTGTTCTTGAAAAAGAGCCGTTTCTGTCAGAGCTCTCTCAGACCCACCTACCTCCCAGGGTGTCTGTTGTGGGGAAGGGGAAGGGGAAGGGGAAGGAGTTTGTAAGCCGCTCTGAGACACCTTTGGGTAGTGAAGGGTGGGGTATAAATCCAATCTCCTTTCTGTTTGAGCAGAGGGGCTGGCATGTGCTTCTTTGGGAAAGGGGGAAGAACAAAGACAGAGGCTGCTCTTGCTGTGTTTCATCTGCACCTCACTTCCCCAATGATTGGCAGCCTGCCATCTTTGCAGAATAAGGCCAGTCTAATAGTATTAAAAAAATTAAAAAGCAAACATGGGCAGAGGAAATGAGAAAAGGAATACATCTTTTCTCTAAAAGCAGCCCTTAAGCATGGCCATTCACCTGTAAAGCAGGGTAGTGATACTTGTCTTTCTCTCTCTCTGTGTGTGTTTATTTATTTTTACATATTCATATAGTCCTGCACACACACACACATATATGGAGCATGTGACTGAATGTAAGCCTTTATCTTGCTCTGTGAAGCATTTAATTTCTTTAAAGCAAGCTAGCTGGCTGCTTAGTGAACAGCAAGATAGATTAAGTGGGGATTGGAAGAAAAATGTTGACGTGAATTGACGGGGATTGGAAGAAAAATGTTGACGTGAATTACATGGGATTTGTATGCTCGAGCACCCCTTGCCATTTTCTGTTTAAAAATGCCTCTATCAGGGTCCCAGCACCAAGGGAGGGAGGGAGGAAACTTCAGCCCCATATTTCCATGTACCCATTGTGCAAGGGGAAATATTACTGATCTGTAAATGGGGGGCCCCTTTCCCTTCACCTGCAGTGTGGTGAGAAGGATCTCCTGGGTGGGGGTGGAGTGGAATTAAAAGTGGGAATGTCTTTCTCACTGAAACCAGTGGAAACAAATATTGCATTAACAACCTTGAGCATGACCTTGCATTATATGCGGTGAGGTGTATCAAAAAATGTGGGCTGAACTGAATACGAGATCTGTGCATATATGCCTCCCATCTTTATGTCAAAATTCCAATGGTAGTCGCTCCCGTCTCATAAGTCAGCAATTCTGCCAGCATTCATGTATGCTAGAAGGCTTTGTGAAAAGCTTTTACTTAGGAGCAGTAGCTGAGGAGTCATATTATTGGCCTCTCAAGTCTGGTTTGAAAGTCATAGGAGTAGCTGTTTATCTTCTTGGTGGAAAGTGCTGTCGGGTCATAGCTGACTTATGGCGACCCCTTGGGGTTTCCAAGGCAAGAGACGTTCAGAGGTGGTTTGCCATTGCCTGCCTCCACATCACAACCCTGGTATTCCTTGGAGGTCTCCCATCCAAATACTAGCCAGGGCCGACTCTGCTTAGATTCCAAGATCTGACGAGACTGGGCTAGCCTGGGCCATCCAAGTCTGGGTGTTCTTACCATAACAAAAATGACTTTTTCAAAAAATAAGTTCCGTACACAAATTCATGCTGCCCTGCTATGCCAGGTTAGTCTGCAAAATATTGATGGTATCTTCACATTTTCAGACGAGAAACAGCTTTTCCATTCCATTCAAACATATGCATGTGAAAATTTTCATCTCTCTTCTCCCCCTCCCTCGCTGGCTACCAATACCATTGATTAATGGTACCAAAAAAGAATCTTGGGGAAATAAGATGTACAATTTGTATGTGAGAGACTCTGTGAGTGTTCATGGTGACCACATATTCCACAGAAAATCATGACATCTGTGTAGGCTATGGGATTGCTAGTTCCGGGGTGAGAAATACCTGGAGATTGGGGGTGGGGGGTTGGAGCCTGAGGAGGGCTGGGTTTGAGGAGGGGAGTGACTTCAGTAGGGTCCACCTTCCAAAGCGGCCATTTTTCCAGGCGAATTGATCTCTGTCGCCTTGCGATCAGTTGTAATAGTGGGAGATCTCCAGCCATGGAGGCTGGCAACACGAGTAGGGTATGGAATATAAAATGTTACTAATGTGTAATGACAGATAAAGACTTTCCCCCCCCAACATGCTATGAACATTTTTTTAACAGTATACGGAAGATCATAGTTAGTCAGCAGTTCACAAATGCTTTCATAAGATTACATTTCACCTTAAATTTATGCACATATTCTGTAGTCTAAATGGCATTTTTCTGGCATCCTTTGCTTACGTGTTGTCTTCCCTACAGAAAGAAGAGTGAGCTGGTAATATTCAAAGCACCTTTTGTTTAGAACGTCATTTTAAAGATTTATTTCAGACTAGCCTGATACCCGTGTTTCGCTACGGTATTTAAGTTCTGTAAATCCAGTTATAATACCGATGATGTGAAGTTTGAAATGTGACATTTGTTGTAGGAATTCTAGTGGAGAAGATTGTAGTGTAAAAAATGAAGTAAGACATATGTACTTTTTTTCTCTCTGCCGAAGGACTTCTCTATAGACCACATTGGTGGTTCTGCCCTCAGGTGCTAGGATCACCAGGCTGCTTGATAAGCTCACTCTGGAGCAGGCAACATAGAACTGTCCATTTAAGAAGCAGTTGTCTGTTAAGTCAATTCCTGCCACCTTCCACGAAAGGGAAGGCCTCTCTACTTGTGTTCCTGGATTGTTTAGCTCATATGGAGCTTCTGAGCACCTCAGGGTGATCTTGCTGGTACTTGGCCTGCGCAGCTCAGTGCCCCGCAGGAGTACTATGTGCAAATGTCCCATTCCTGATTTCCTCAACTGTCATTAGCTTTGTGCAGTCTCCTGTAACTGTTGGCCTTTTTTACCTCCGCAGCTGACCAATCAGAGAGTAGGGGGTGCAAGGAGGCAGCAGCCTGGCCGCCGCATAGGAATCAATGGGGGGAGCACATTTTACCCCTTTTGACCCCCTTAGGGGTCGAATTTCTAAAAATCACTTCTTAGTGAGCACCTATGCCATGGTAGGAGCGCTCTCCCCGAATTTGGTGTTTCTAGGTCCAGCGGTTTGGCCTGGGCATTAATTTTACGGTGAGGGGACTTTCTTTTATATATAGATGTAATAAAAGCATGGAGGCCATTATACCTATCTACTACATCGGTCTATTACATGCATCTCTTAAGCATTGTATGAGAAATGGAAATATGTCAAGCAGGTATCTTTGAGAGTTGTTAGTAGGAGGTTCCTTTTTATAGGTGTAGATTTGTCTTCAGTCATTACTATGCTCACCTGTGTAGAGAAACTGTGTGAGCAGCTAGAGCTTTCTTGCCAATTTTTGATATTAAATTTCCCATAGTTTGCGAAGTAACTGGGATAACTGACTAGCCATATCACAGGTGACAGCAGCAGGGATAGCACAGTGCATCATCTGCACATAGGATTTCTTTATTTGTGTGTAAGTATCACCTTTAAGGGGCGGGGAGATTTTAGTTGGCAGGTACAATTTTATTAATCCAGGCTTTCTGTTTGGTAAATGTCTAGATAAGTAAGGGTGCAATGTATTTGTAAGCAATAGTATGAATACAGAGCAAATGAGAGGAGGAGGAAGAGGAAAGATTGGAAGCTGCGTGCGTCTTATATTCTGAGGGTACATCTCGATGCATTTGTGATTTAATCAAGAATATGCAGGGTGTCTCAGATGTACAATACATTTATATTGAAAAGTATGACTTGGTTTAATTACAGTTCATTTGCTTGGTCTTTGGAGGGCATTGTCTTTGTCTTTTCCTCTGAAGTATCTGTAGTAAATCATTTTTTAAGTGGCACGTGAAATAGATGATCAAAATAGATTTCCCAAAGAAATATAGATAATTATGAACCTGTAAAGACAACATTATTGCCCTTGTCCTAAATATCTCAGTTCCTTAACTCCAGGTTTGCATCAATATTTATAATTCAAGCTTTACTTTTCATCAAGGGACTGCCCTCAAGTGGTTAATTTGGAAAACACTTATGAATAATAATCTTGCTAGGTACTTTTCATTGTGGTATATAGGTTTAGAAAAGAGGGTTCTGATTAATTCTTATTTTCATTGATTGATTTTGTTTCAGTAGAATAGTATTCCCAGCCTTTTTCAGCCTGCAGGCACCTTTGGAATTCCGACACAGTGTGGTAGGTACAGCCACAAAAATGGCTACTTGCAGGAAGTGGAGCCATCCACAGAATGGCTGCTGCTGCTTACCTTAAGTCAAATAGTGAAGATCCTTGTGCTGTGGTGAAGCCCCAGCAACATTTTTTTTAAAACCTGCACAGCCAATCAAATGCCTAATGGCCAATCAGAAGCCTTGCTGGGCAAAAGCCCCAGCTGTCCTCCCATCCACTTTCTAAAAACATTTGGCGGGCATCAGGAAAGGTGACCGTGGGCACCATGGAGGAGAGGAGATTGGATTTATACCCTACCCTTCACTCAGAGTCTCAGAGCGACTTACAAACTCCTTTCCCTTCCCCTCCCCACAACAGACACCCTGTGAGGTGGGTGGGGCTGAGAGAGCTCTGGGAGAACTGTCCTTGAGGGAACAGCTCTGAGAGAACTATGGCTTGCCCAAGGTCATCCAGCAGCTACAAGTGGAGGAGGGGGGAATCAAACCCGGTTCTCCCAGATTAGAGTCAGCGCACTTAACCACTACCCCCAACTGGCTCTCATGAGTACCACACTGGGGACCCCTGCAGTAGAATGATGCTAAGTGCTGTGTATAGATGTAAACTTTTGAATTACAGTCTTAGATAATCAATGTCGCTAAAGGAAAATGTTGCTGAATGTATACCATTTGGAATAATAGTCTGGTTAGAGAAAATGTCGTGTTGACAATGTAGTTGACTACTGTGATTTGAAAATGATGCAAGTTCTTGAATGATGGGATTGGTGGTTCACTGCCATCCTCGATGTTCTTGCCGCAGTATAAACTTCTTCCAAATAACTTAGGCAAGTGGAGCTGTTCTGAGACGTTCGAACAGTGGATGGATTGTAGCAGATTTTCTGATGGAAAAAGGAGGGGTCCTTCTGGACTATCTGGCTATGCCAGGATTGTAGACAAAAGGTACTCAGGATGGGAACTTCAGTGAGGAGGGGGATTGAGTGAGATCAAGTGGAAATTATGATATGATCCATTGGGGGGGGTCAGCCTCCAGGTGAGGCCTGGAGATTTCCTGGAATTTTTTTCTCTGGTGGAGAAAATGGCTGCTTTGGAGGGTGAACTCTATGGCATTATACCCTGCTAAAGCTCCACCCCCAGATCTCTGGGAATTTCCCAACCCAGAGTTGGCAACCTTAGATCCATCCCACAGCATCTCACTTTAAAGTTTGTGTCGCCGTTTCTGAATACGATCTATTTTGTAACAAAGACTATCGTGAAAGTTGAAGAACTTTATTACCTCACATCTGCTGTCTCTTACAAAATTTCAACAGATTGAGTTCTTAACACGTGTTTGACACACTTTATCTGTATGTTCAAATGGTGTATTTCTCAGGAACTACCGTAGAACCAATGGCTCAATCAGATTTCTTTACAATCTTGATTCTAAATTCAGGTTTGAATGAAAGGTCTCTGTGTGTTATCAGTTGCATGAATTGTGTGATTATTTCTTAATTTAACCAAGATCTCCCCCCCCCATACACACACACACTGCTTGTATAGCCAGGTCCATAGTAATTTGCTCTAATTTGACAAACTGATTTCAGCATTGTGTAATCTTGGCAAAACCTGGTGCCATTTCTTCCCTTTGGAAGTCATGTTTTAGGTAAAATGGAATCTTTGTATCTTGCCCTTAATGCTTTGCTTCAACATCTGACTTAAATCACTGTATTAGTGAGATGCATTTTGTGTTTCTTATAATGTCTGGATTTGCTTTGTTTTCCCCAAATCAGAACGTCCCTTTTCATAATAATCGTTGAATTTTACATCATATTCAGAACCACCAATATATACCTTTATAAGCCTCATTTTGGTTGGTTTTATTTTACTTAGATTAGCAGCGTAGTGGTTTGAATGTCACAGTAGGTCTAAAGAAGCCCAGGTTCAGATCTCCATTCTGCCATCTTGGGCCAGTCAGCATTTCTCATCCTAACTTCTTTCACAGAGTTGATGTGCGAATTAAATGGGTCAGAAAGAAGTGCCTGTGTCCCCCTGACTTCCTCAAAGGAAGAGCAAGATAAAGAGGAGGAGTAATATTATCAGGATCATGGATGTTAGAGGTAGAAAGCCCTTTCCCAAGTAAGAATGGTGCTTTAAAATGGAAGAGATTTTTTTACTTATTTACTTGATATACGTTCTGCTCTTTCTCACTGAGATTCAAGGAAGATCACACAGTTAAAACAATACAGTAAGAACAGCAGCAAACATCCAGCCAGCAGTGAATAAAACTAGTTTACAAAATTAGATAACAATGCACTAAAAACAGTATGAGGAATACAATGTAACAGAGCTGCAATTCAGAACTGCAGAATTAAGGCAATAAAAATAGTGCAACACAATTAAGGAACAAAGCAATGAAAACTGCCTAAATTTTCTCAGACACTGGCTATAACTAGGAGTGTGCGTTCGGCATAAACTGAACTGAATAAAGGTATTTTGGGGGTATTTATTAAGATCTGTATTCGGCTACCGATATGACTCAGCCTGAAAAAAGTGGATTCTTTTTTGGGGGGCTTTTATTTGGGTGAGCCAACCTCAGCCAAGGCAGCGCAGAGCTCTCAGCTCTCCACTGTCCCAGCTGATCCTTTTTTGCATCTACGAGCTGCAAGAGAGAATCAGCTGGGGCAGTGCAGAACTGGGGCTGGCTGGCTGGCTTGGTTTAAACCAAGCTGCAAGAGAAGCCAACCCAGGATTGGCTGTGGCGGCAGGAGCTGACAGCTCCATACCACCCTAGCTGTTCCTCCTTTGCTCGCAGGTTCGGCTGGGGCTCTGCTGGGCAGTCCAGTTTTAAGAGATAATGTGTCTGTTTTATCAGTTGTTTTGACATTTGTTACAACAAAACTAAGTTCAAGCATTGCCAAAACACAAGTCCCTTGATTCTTTAAAAGGTGGTAAATTAGATTTCATTTATCTTTCTAGGTGAGTCGTCTGCTGATTTTGGGTGGTGCAAATGTGAATTACAGGACAGAAGTTCTTAACAACGCTCCAATACTATGTGTCCAATCTCACCTCGGCCATGAAGAAGTGGTCCTCCTCCTGCTAGAATTTGGTGCTTCAATGGATGGTGCATCTGAGAATGGAATGACACCACTTTGTTGTGCAGCGGCTGCAGGCCATATGCATATAATTTCACTACTATGCAAAAAGGGAGCAAAGGTGAGTTAAAAGGACAGCATTTTGTTTCCAGCATGGTTTATGGTACAGCAGTGGGTGCCGTGCAGTAACATAGTGCAGCAGCATTTAAATCCTATTATTGTGTCCAGCATTTACTGGGATGCATTTCTTGATTTAGAATATGGTGCAGGAATTGGAATAAGGCAAACAATGCCCCAGAGGATGCAACCCCAGTCCTGAAAGTCAGTTAAAGCAGTTTCCACTGCCTTGTGGAATAATATGATTAATAATTTGTGTTATTGTGTGGTATAGGCCCATGTATACACTGAGCTCAGACTGGCAACACCTTCAAACTATCTCTTGTCATCTTAGGTTATCTGCCTGACTTTGACCAGAAACTGGCCTGTTTCCTTTGTTTGAAATAGCCTCCCTTAGCGACATCCGGTTTGTGGATTAGCGATGGCAGTCGCTCTCCCTGGACCTCGGGGGAACGATTAGCACACCAGCGGTATGGAGTGGTGCTACCTCAAGTGGCATCCCCACGGAGCCTTTGCGATAGGCTCCAGGCCAGAGGACTTTTGAGGGGTAGCCTCTTCGACGGCTCGATGCCGGAGAATCGAGGGTTCCCCCTGCCCTGATGGTCCTGCCGCTGCGTGGCCCTCGGGCACAAGCTGATTCGACCGGGACAAGCGCTGGAGATCGAGCGGAGCATCGAACATTGTGAGCAAGGTCAGAGAAATGACCAACAATGAATGTGAGTTCAAACTAAACAGAACATTTTAAAAGTGAACTCCCCCCCCCTGGGAAAAGGGGAGTGCAAAGAGGGACGCCTCTTATGCGAACGGACAGATAAGCGTAACGAAGAGGCAGGGGGGGAAACAAGCAGCGACTTTGTTTTGAGAGACTTACGTGAGCGCCGACATTGAGGTGACGATTTTTCGAGCCCGTGAGAAGCGGTTTGGAATTGTAAACAACCGTATAAAATGGCAGCCTCGCAAAGAAAGTTTAAAACGAAACCGGCGGGTAGTCAGAGCCCAAAACCAGAAGAGGGAGCAGACGTCATGAAAATGTTAGCGGATATGCTTAAGCCGGTGATGGAGGAACTCGATGGTATTAACCAGCAACTGACTTCGATGAATCACGACTTTGCATCACAGCAGCTCCAACTGGCAGAAACAGAGAAGAAGGTGGAGAATGCGACTGCGAGAATTAAAGAGATAGACACCACAAACAAGAAAATGAAGAAAATTATGGGGGAAGTTGAAACAAAACAAAACTTCCAAGAAAACCGTTTGTTACAGCTACAAATGGAAAAAGCCAATATGATTCTCAGATTTCAGGGAGCTCTTGAATCGGAAAAGGAGGATCTGAGAAAGTTACTCAGCGAGATTATCACTCCAGTAATAGGCTCAACAGCGGATGAAGTAGAAAAAGAGATGGAGACTGCCTACAGGGCTTACTCCAATTACATTAAAAAAATAGCCTGCCTGGAGAAATTGTGGTCAGATTCTCAAGAAGAGAGACCAGAGATGCTATTTTAAAAGCAACTTCAGCAACTCCACTGAAACTGGGGAATACAATCATTAAGACTTTAAAAGACATTCCATTTGAAATTCGCCAAAAGAG